ATTCGTCGTGAAGTACCGCGTTGATGCACGCCTTGTTTATGAATGACAGAGTGTCGATGGGCGTGCCGTCACGCGCTTGTAGGAGCGCAGTAACTGCACGATGGCGTTGCGTTTTGGCCGTAGCATGATGGGTGGCAACGAGATGCTCAACAGCTTCGACGGGCTTACGCTGTGTTGGCGCCACACCAGATGACAAGAGGCGCATGTACTCCGCCTGCATTACAACAGCCGTCATTTTGTGAAAATCTCGGACAAGCACGGCTGTGGATGGGGGCCTAGTCTTGGTAGTGCGGACCTTGGGCCAGACAGGTCCACGGTAGCGTGTAGTGGGGCGTGCGCTGCCATCACAAGCGCAACGCCACTGCGCTGGATGGGCCAGAAGGCGCTCAAGAGCGGGGCTTGTAGTCACCATGTTGAAGCTAGAGCTGGTGTGATTAGAATGCCAAAACGTGGTGTTGTGCAGAAGAGATGCGCATTTAGTTTACAGACATCCGCGCCAGAGGGATCCTAGCGACAACTGAACACCATGTGCGATAATTGCTATCGGTCCCAGTAACAAATTCGCCAGGCTACGACTAAATTCACAGTTGTCGCTCAGGCGTTTCTCGAGTTGTACATCATGATTTTGCAAAGCCCGTTGCGTACACATGGGTAGCGATGATTTTTCGTGAATTTGCGACGGTTGAAGTAGAGTAAGCATTCTCGCTGCCGGAGTCTGGTATGAACTGTCCATATTTGTCTAACAATGTCAAACCGAGAATTACTTGACGGACTGTTGCTCAGCAGCAGCGTGCGACGTATACAGCCGTTGGGGGTACAAATATCCGACCCCGATACACGTCTCGGATTAGTGCTGCACCCATTCCCTGCACGCACGTGTCCCAGATATATCGACCTCAACGTCAGTGGTGACATTGATGCAATTTTGACCAATACGAGAGTAATACCGGTAGTACACACACCGTATACAGGTGTTACCAGCTGCGGGAGTTTTTTGCGAAAGGGTGTAACCAGTCAATGGTGGTTTAGGCCCACACACTGGCAGAATTGCAAATATATTACGGCAGCTTGCTCGCACATTTTATTATAAAACCCCCTTTGCATTTCCGCCACTTTTGTGACATCACTGTAGCACCTTAGCACAAGTACTTAATGCGCATATAACCAGCCTACACAGCACATACTTCACCCTTCAGCGCTTCTCTCATGATTTCCATAGTCTATTAATCCTTGACGCAAGCGCTTGTCACTATAGACAGGCTCACCATGCCATATCCCCTGGCGCTGTATGCGTGTGAGTGGTGCCATCGGCGCTTCACTTCACGCTCAGCTTTATTTGCTCACAAGACGCGCAGCGGCGTATGCCATCGTATCCGTTCAGCATGGACCCATCCATTCACGGTTCATCCTCTCACTTCGTGCTCCCGTGCCTGAAGCCACCACTTCCGCCGACGCGGGAGACAACTCCGACGGCGACGATCCTCCTGATGATGCGGCCCATAAAACTCGAGCTGATGGATCGAATGCTGCCGTGGAGAACGCCGACGCGGACAATCTAGACCATGCAAGTTAGAGCTTGTCGTATAAGTGATACGGTTCGGTGTGTTTCCTAAGGCCTAGTTATTTGCCTACGTACTAACACTATATGCCTCCCACATACAGGGTATCGAGCCCGAGCCCGAAGAAAGGACGGAAGTGGAGGTTCAAGATGCAGCAGAGACAAGAGGAAAACGAGGCTACTGTTGAGGAGGCAGACCGCATCCCAGAGGCGGACTTTTGACCCACCGAGAGGTTCGACACGCTAATGGAGGTTTTCTGATTCATCGTCAGATGCAACAATGGACGTCGACTGTCTAACGAGAGCACGGGTGGCTGTTGAATCTACTGAGGGAGGAGCGCCTAAACCTTGCGCTGCTCCAGCAATGGCACACACTTCATGCCGTGCTGCAGTACGGCATGTCTCAGCTCATGGCGACACAAGAGTGTGAAACCCACACGTTCACCCTACCGAACTGGCCAACGCCGTTCGATGTCATGGCGACAAGTGAAAAAGAGGTACGCTACCATACCCGCGTTGACCATTGCAATACGCTCTGCACATTACAGGGCAAATCCATCTTACCTCTTCTTGTTGCTGAAACCACCCCATGACGCAGGCCGTCCTAGAGCTCTTACCAAACCCCGCAAACGCTAAGGGATTTGTACTCTTTCCACACGTAGAAAACTCTGGGGCGGGTTGCATGTACTCTACACCCGGCACGGCAACGTATTGGGAGGAAGCTCAACGTGCAGCTATGGCAATGTTCGGGGAAGGAACGGTTGTGGTTCCCCTCATTATCTCCAGCGATGCCACCATGCTAAGCCGAAACGAGCATACCAAGGTGTGGGCGGTGTACATAAGCATCGCGAACATTGCTCTCTACTGCCGATGGCAAGAGTGTGGCAAGCTGCTATTGGCGATGTTGCCTTTCCCGCAGAGCCAGATGAGCCCGGCCAAGAAGACGGCTTTGTTCCAGGCTGCGATGAAGATCGTGCTTGCTGACCTCATCGTGGCATCACACACGTGAGTAAACCGGCGTACCACATCGCCCAGCCGTATTCACATCCGACATCCCCTTTGCGCGATTCTCTAGTATGGGTTGTTGACAGTGCCGGCATTATCTAACACCCGCAAGACTTGCGGCTTTTGCAGGGGCATGGCGGCCACGGATCCCAACGGAGTCACGTGGTTTGTGGTGCAGCTTCTTTTTTCATACGTGGCCGACTACACGGAGACCTGCAAAGTGTCATGCACCCAGCAGCTCGAATCTGTGAGACCTTGCCCTCTCTCTGCTATGTGCACCGCGAGCACCTCCATGACATGGACAGAGAGGCAGCCGAGATGAGGACTGTAGAAAAGCAGGAAGGCCTGCTCGACGACCCAGCAGTAGCCGCCAGATATGCAACCATGCGTGTTTCGGTACACTGTCGGTGCCCTTACTGTTGCATATACTCTAAACCCTATATACTGATGGTTGGACTTTGTGTCGCCCCATTGCCATCCCTTGCAGAGTTTTTTGTGGGACTTCAACTTCAGCCGCACGGTATGGGGCAACACATACCTGACGATGGGGCCCGACATTCTCTATGCTATCTTCATTGGCTTTTGGCTTTACATTCGTGACGCGCTGCGGGGCAACGACACGATAGCAGTGATTGATATACGGTCCCGCTTTCTCCCCTTGAGTCATCTTAGCTGATGTTAGTTGGCTGAGTAGGCGACTCATCGTGACTTCATCTGTTGCCATGTATGATTTGCGCAGGTAATCCCAAGATAATTGCGCACGAGCCCAATCAGTCTTGAAGAAACGGATGCCAATGCTCGGAGGGAGAAAGGAGAACGGTGTAAGCCATAAAAGACTCGTGGTAATAGAGGTTCTTCTCCTGTGAAGTGCCTTCTATCAGAAAAGGAAGGCTTCCGTCGTAGTACATCCAGAATTGCACGGTTGTCGCGAGGAGATCGAACTCGAAGCTCCACAGGTAGAACTCCTTGCCGTGAATCAGGAACAATGTCTTCAGTTTCGATGTTGTGAGGATCTTGTTTTGCAATGAAGCTAACACCTCAGCCTGCGCACGTTTTTCGTTGTCTTGTGCAGGATGTGAGCCTTGACGGTTGTCAAGCTGAGTAATCTCTCGGAGTTGACCTGTCGGTCTTCTCCTGAGAAAGAAGTCCAGCAACTCTTCTGGCGTAACTTGAACCGTCGATAATCATCGCTTGATGACTTTCAAGGGCGTTGATATGAGAGATGAGCTCCTCAACAACGTTGGCGTTGACGGGGGTCACTCCTGAGGGCATATTGGTAATTGTTGCTGGTGGTGGGCCCCCTCGACGAGCGCATAGGGCTCGCACAGGCCATGCGGGAAAATTGCCAGTGAAACCAAGCTCGTGGAATCTTCTCAGCGCACAGAGAGTTATGCGTTCTTGCGCACGCATGAGTAATGCGCGCACAGCTCCCGCACCGGAGGTTCGGGAGACAATAACGATTTGGGAGGCTCGACGTGGGCTTTAAGCCTTGTTATGCGCATTCCGAGAATGTTCAGCGTTAGGGCTGAGCACCCCTTATGCGCCAACAGAAGAGGGCCATTATTTTACGAACCCCCCGCAGTTGCGCTTGGGGTGGCAGGAAGCTGTACCACACCACCGTGGGGGTTCCTGGCTTCGCGGAAGCCTTCAGCCGCACTGGTTGTGCTGTGCTGTGCTGTCCGCCGAGCATTTGCTTACGGGCAACAGAACAGGGCCTCGATTGGGCTGGACTCAATTCGCACTTGCGAAAACAAAGACGGGAAGAAGTTGGTTGGCGAAAGTCACCAGCCAATACAAGAGAATTTTCACGAGTGGTGGCAAGACGAACCCAACCCACCCTACTCAAGACGATTGTCTTGCCAAGGGAATGCAGATCGCGTAACGCAGCTTTCTAGGGATCAGGAATATTATCGGTGCGCCTCTCATCCTTCTGAGACACGTGCGAGCTTCACACGACAATTAGGAGAGCGAAGAGGGTAACGCGGCTGCCTTCGCACCTCGCTGCGCCTCCCCTCGCAACCTTTCTCGTCGTCACCAGCTATCCACTCCCACTACCATTCCTCGCCCATGTCACATACTGCTCACCTCGCCAAGTCACTTTCGGCGGGCCCGCCCCGATAGCGGGCCCGCCATCTAACCGCCCGAGTCTCCACAGTCTCGCAATCGTCGCGCGCAAGTTCAATGTCGCCGCGCCTGTCTTCTCACACTCCCCGCCCTCTCCCTTCACGGCCAATGTTTGCCCTCGGCTTCTCAGACCTCCACTCAGTTTCTCGCTCATTTCCCCCCCTTCTTCCCCTCGTTTCCGCCCCTTCTTCCCCTCATTTCCGCCCCTTCTTCCCCTCGTTGATTAGCGGAGAGGACGAGGTGGTGAGAGGGCGAAGGCGATTTCACTGTATCCATGGGAACACCAGTAGCAGAGGCAGCAGCATCACAAGCTATGACCTCGTCTGCGTCTGCCGCTGCCCCCGCGCCCCCCAAGCTGCTGGCCGACGCGCTCCACCTCCTCGACGCGGCGTCGCGGCTCATCACGGACGTGCGCAGCGGCGTGGATGTGCTTATAGAGGGGGTTGTGACCGCAGCGGAAGCAGGAGGGGAGGGATGGGGAGGCGACGAGGAGGGCGGGGGCGGAGCGGCGGAGGTGATGGGGGAAGTGGAGAGGCGGATGCGCGGGACCGTGGCGCAGCTGCAGTCCGTTGGTGAGGGGGGAGGTGGGGGGGAGGAGGGGGGAAGGGGGGGGAAGGGGGGAGTGGGTGGGGGGGGGCTTGTTTATTTTCTATTCTGAGCAAGTATACGGGGGGCTGGTTTGGGGAGAGATGTGGACATGGCGAAGTTGCAATTCATTGGTAGGTTGGGCGGCAATGAGGCTGGGCGGCAATGAGGCTGGGTGCGGAAGTGGATGGGGTTGGGTCGGGAGGTTGGGTGGGGGGGTGTTGAGAGAACAGCAGCGAGAGTGGAAATGGTGCGGGTGATGAGTAGGGGCCGGCGGATGGGGAGACTTGCGGCACAGTTGCAATGCAACGCACTGGTGAGGCGAGGAAGGGGGGTGGTAGGACGTGCATGGTGGGACGTGCATGGTGGTTACTGGAGGTGCGTCAAGGGGTGATGGAAAGAGAGGGGGGGGAGGGTGGGGAGAGAGGCAGGACGACAGGATAAGGTGCTTCCACCCTTGCACATGCCACTTCCTCCCAGCGGGCACAACTCCCTGTTGCTCGTCTTTGGAGCTACAAGTGTGTTCCACTGTGTGCATAGTCCAGTGTATGCATAGTCCAGAGTGTGCATAGTCCAGTGTATGCATAGTCCCGGCGCGCCTGTCTCTTGCGAGAGCACCATCCTATCCTCACGCCACCACGCATCGTGCCCATCTCACCAACTGCACCCCGTTTCTTTCCCGCTCCTCTCATGCGCTCCTCTCATGCGCTCCTCTCATGTGCTCCTCTCATGCGCCAGGCACGCAGCTAGCGCAGCTGGGCGCGTGGGACGCACACGGCACGCCTTCCCCACCCGCCGCCACTGCAGGCGGAGGGGACGGGACCGGGGGAGGAGAGGGAAAGGCGGCAGTTGGATTGCATGGTGATTCGAATGAGGGAGGGGAGGGAGTTAGTCGGGGTGGAGTTTCGAGGAAGGTGGTGGGGGGGGGTGGGCAGGCGGCGTTGGTGTGCGCGGATGGCATGCTGGTGAGCTACGCGTGGAAGCGCCACATCGCTGCTCATGCCGCCACCACCGCTGCCACGCGCACCGGGTGAGGGGGGGGACCGGGTGCGTGTGTGCTGCGTGTGTGAGTGTGTGCTGCGTGTCTGTGTGTGTGCTGCGTGTGTGTGAGTATGCTGAGTGTGTGCTGAGTGTGTGCGGCGTGTGTGTGTGGGTGCTGCGTGTGTGTGTGTGTGTGCCTGCTGCGCGCGTGTGTGTGTGTGTGTGTGCTGCGTGTGTGTCTGTGTGTGTGTGCTGTGTGCGTGCGTGTGCGTGCGTGCGTGTGTCTGTGTGCCAGTCTGTGTGTCTGTGTGTCTGTCTGTCTGTGTGTGCTGCGTGCTTGTGTGTGTGTTGTGTCTCAGAGGCGCCCTCCCCTCTCCGCCCATCGGTTCCTCTTCCTTGCATCTCGCTGTCCGCCTTCAAACCTCATGTGCCGCTGCTCCCCTGCGTTCCCATCGCACTACCACACCATGGCCACTCCATGCATCGCACTACCACACCATGGCCACTCCATGCATCGCACTACCACACCATGGCCACTCCATGCATCGCACTACCACACCATGGCCACTCCATGCATCGCGCTACCACACCATGGCCACTCCATGCATCGTCTTCAACTACTCTTCTTCTCTTCCCTCTCCCCATCTCCTCCTTCCCCTTCCGCCCCGGTCCCTCCATCTCCGTTTCCCTCTCTCCACCTCTTCCCCGGCACCCCTCCGCCCACCAGAGTGGCGCTCGCGGCATTTCAGCGCCACAGGCAGCGCTGCTTCCCGGCCCTCACGGCGCCGCCTCTCACGCTCGCTGCACTCGCGCACCACCTCGCGCAGCGACCCACAGCCTGCCGTGCGGATGCCGCAGCAGTGGGTGCTGGCGGTGGTGGCAGTGGTGGCGAGGGTGCTGCGCGGCCCACCAGTGCTGCCGCTGCACCTGCCCAGCCTGCTGCTCACGGCTCCGCCGCCACTGCTGCTGCTGCCGCTGCTGCCGTGAAGGTGGAAGGGGCTACAGTGGGTGGGGGGGAAGGGGCGGGAGGTGGGGGTGGGGAAGGGCAGGTGCAGGCAGCAGGTGGTGGTGAAACTGGGGAAGGCACATGCGCTGCCACCGATACTGCTACTGCCGCTACTGCCCCTCATGCTGCTGCTGCTGCTTCTGCTGCTGCTGGTGCAACAACATGCTCAGAAGGAGCAGCAGAAGGCGCCTCTGTCAACACAGGTGCTTCTGGGGAAGGTACACCTGCAACTGCTGCCGATACGCCCGCTGCCGCGTCCGAACCTGGCCGCGATGGCATGGGACCAGGGTTGGGCCGAGCCACCCCACCAGCAGGCTTGGGGGTGATGGGGGCGTTAGGTGCGGTTGGACTGGGTCGGGGGAGGGTCGGGGGACTGGTTCGGGGCCTTGGGGCGTTTGGGCGGATGGGGGGGATAGGAGGAAGTATTGGGGGGAGTATCGGGGGAATGGGGGCAGGGGCGGGGGGAGGTGTGGGGGGGGGGAATGCGATGGAGGCGGACGACCTGGGGGGGGGCGATGAGATGATGATGCTGGGGGGCGACTTTGGCGGCGAGGACATGGACGTGGATGGGCGCGGCGCGGGCGATGGGGGGGACGGGGCAGGCGCCCAGGCAGAGGAGCAGGGGGAGGCAGGTGGGGCGGAAGGAGGGGAAATGGGAAGCGGGGAGAGGAATGAAGGGCAAAGGCCGGTCTCTGGTGCTGGGGAAGGAGGTGGGGAAGAGGGAGAAGGGGGTGGGGCGGAAAAGGCAGAGGGGGCAGGGGCGAAGGGAGGTGAAGGGGGGAGTGAAAGCAAGGCAGGGGTAGGTGGTGTTGGTGTTGGTGTGGGTGGAGGGGAAGTTTCAGGGCGTGCAGGTGGGGCGAGAGGAGAAGCAATGAGTGGCGGTGGTGATGTGGACGCTGCCAATGTGGGTGGCAGTGGCGATGGTGGTGGGAGTGGTGCTGATGCGCATGTTGGCGCAGCGGGAGCCAAGGGCGTGAAGAGGGCGCGGGGCGAGGGGGGCGGCATGGAGGCGTGCAGCGACCCCGTGCTGCGCGCCGTGCTGCAGCGCGTGCGCGTGGCGTGCCCCTCCTTGCACCTCGCCCTGCTGCGCCGCTCCTCCTGGCCGACCCACCTCATGGCGCACACTGGCACATGCGCTGCTGCTGTGCACGATGGGGGGGGAAGAGCAGGGCGAATGGAATGGGGGGAGAGATACGAGGGAGGAGAGAACAGGGAGAGGGAGAAGGGGCAGGTGAAGCAGGAGCAGGGAGAGGCGACAGAAGAAGCACCCCCTTCAAGAAAAGCTCTTTTGGAATTGCAAGCCCCGCCCGCTCAAAGGCGAAGGCGGGGGCAAGGGGGAGCGCAGGTCGTGTGTCCTCCAGGAGTGATTGAGGCGAGGGTTCTTGGAGCCTTCCGTGCAGTGATCTCCCTCATGCCAGCTGGCACCTCACGAGTGGATGGGGTCGCTGTGTTTGGGACAAACGAGGTGAGTGTGTGCCGGGTGTGTGCCGGGTGTGTGCCGGGTGTGTGCCGGGTGTGCGTCGCGTGTGCCTCGAGTGTGTGCCTCGAGTGTGTGCCTCGAGTGTGTGCCTCGAGTGTGTGCCTAGTGTGTGCCGGGAACGCATCACCCTCCCTGCTATGTCGGGAAACCATTCGGCATACGGTACGCGTACGAACTATATGCCACCGTACATACGTGATACGCTGATTTCCAGCATACGGAGTGTCGGGCAGTTAAATAAAATATCTCCAGGCCGGCAAAAAAACTTGAGTGGAGGTGAGACACGGTTTGTGTTTGGCACGAAATACCAGATGCGCGCTCTGGGCGCGAATCACTAGATCCGCACACCTGCAAGTGCTCACATGCTTGTGAGGCTGTGTGACATTGGGTGGGGGAAATATGGAACACTTGAGTTTGTGCCTTGCAAATGTGTGCAATTTTTACACAATTTTTTTTTCATTAGTTTGCTTTTTCAACAGGCTGCCCAACCGAGCGTATCGCTTTTTCGGCACGAATTTCCGTATATGCGATAACAAATACGAGTGATTTGTTTCTTACCCTGACATTCTTTTTCAACATAGCCCCCCCTGTCCCCTCCCCATGCACCGTGCGATGCTAGGTGGGGCCGCATGTGCATGCATGGGGGCAGTCGCACCACATGGCCTTCCAGCTCGTCACTGTGAGTAACCTGCCGTGCAGCGATGCCGTGCAGCGATGCCGTGTCCATTATCCAAATTTCTCCTACTACATGCTGGATTATCTTTTATACAACATGCAAATGCTAGATTAGGTGTAGGGCTGTTGGGTGTACCTTCAACCACAATTTGTGGGTGAAGCTTGGTTGGGTTCCCAACAATTAATGGACCTCCAATAATGTTGGTCCAACTAAACCAACATTTTATTGAAGCCACCAATAATTGTTGGCCAAGCTCATGCTCTACCATCTTCTTCACCTATGTATACCGTGGCTCCTTCTGAGCCCATTCTCAATTCAATTCTTGCTTCTTTCACTACACTCTCTTTTTCCATCTCTTTTCCCTCCCTCTGTCCTACCCTCGTTTCACCTCTCTCTTCCCGTCGTTGATCTCCTATCTCTCCCCCATCAGGCACAAGCACGGCAAGCGGTGCACAAGCTGCGCTGTGCGGCTTCAACGCATCCCTCCGCAGCAGCATGCAGCACTCCGCCTCTGCAAGGCCTTCTGGTGAGACCTCTTCAACCCGCTCCCTTCCTCTTGTGAGCTCATGAGCTGAACTATTGATTAGGTAGCGTTACCTCTAGCTTGGGCTGGGCTGGCAAGGGCTAGGTTTTTTAATGAAATTGCCTGAAATTGGCTTGGTTGTTGGAAGTTGGGGTGACCACGCTCGGTGAGCATCAAAGGTTGTGAAGTGGGCAAGCCATCCTTGAGCGTGTAACACACAACACAAGCTACATCAGGAGGCGCAGTTCGGCCCAACGCAGCCGTGTTGCGCCGCTGCCCATTCCCTCGGCTAACGCGTTCGCTGCCACCGCCGCTTCTCTTTCCACTGCTCTTCCCGCCGCTCCGCTAGGCGCTCCTTGTGCTGAGCTCCGCTAGGCGCTCCTTGTGCTGAGCTCCGCTAGGCGCTCCTTGTGCTGAGCTCCGCTAGGCGCTCCTTGTGCTGAGCTCCGCTAGGCGCTCCTTGTGCTGAGCGGCAGACAGTAGGGTGGAGGAATAGAAAAATCATTTGTGATCCACTCGTGCCTGCTGCATTCCCTCTGCCGTGCTTCCCCCAGGAATGGCTGCACTCCTTCCGCTCCCTCTTCCAGCAGCCCTGCAGGTAGGCAGTGCAGGTAGGCAGTGCAGGTAGGCAGTGCAGGTAGGCAGAGCAGGTAGGCCGTGCAGGTAGGCAGTGCAGGTAGGCAGTGCAGGTAGGCAGTGCAGGTAGGCAGTGCAGGTAGGCAGTGCAGGTAGGCAGTGCAGGTAGGCAGTGCAGGTAGGCCGTGCAGGTAGGCAGTGCAGGTAGGCAGTGCAGGTAGGCAGTGCAGGTAGGCAGTGCAGGTAGGCAGTGCAGGTAGGCAGTGCAGGTAGGCCGTGCAGGTAGGCAGTGCAGGTAGGCAGTGCAGGTAGGCAGTGCAGGTAGGCAGTGCAGGTAGGCAGTGCAGGTAGGCAGTGCAGGTAGGCAGTGCAGGTAGGCCGTGCAGGTAGGCAGTGCAGGTAGGCAGTGCAGGTAGGCAGTGCAGGTAGGCAGTGCAGGTAGGCAGTGCAGGTAAGGCAGTGCAGGTAAGGCAGTGCAGGTAAGGCAGTGCAGGTAAGGCAGTGCAGGTAAGGCAGTGCAGGTAAGGCGGTGCAGGTAAGGCGGTGCAGGTAAGGCGGTGCAGGTAAGGCGGTGCAGGTAAGGCGGTGCAGGTAAGGCGGTGCAGGTAAGGCGGTGCAGGTAAGGCGGTGCAGGTAAGGCGGTGCAGGTAAGGCGGTGCAGGTAAGGCGGTGCAGGTAAGGCGGTGCAGGTACGGCAGTGCAGGTACGGCAGTGCAGGTACGGCAGTGCAGGTAAGGCGGTGCAGGAGTGGCGCTTGTGCAAGTGTGCACGTGTTTCTGTTTTCCCTGTACGCTCCCTGTCTGCTTGCATGCACCAAGCCGTCAAACCGCGTTAGTTGTTCTCTGACCCATGCCTATCCACTATCACCCTCCACCATCCTTCCACTCATTTCCGTCTGCCTCCCATACCACCTTCCCTCAGCCCCTATGCTGCAAGCAGTGCTGCTCTCCCCTACTTTCTGCCTTGTTCTGTCTGTGCTGACGGGGGTATTGCCTCATCCACATTGTCTCTCAAGTCCCCACCGCCTCCCCAACCTGCTCATCCCCCGCACACACCACAGCGCATGTCATCGCATCATCGCGCTGCACCATCCCTCCCGCCACCTGCTGCCGCCAGTCGTCCGCCCCTTGCATGCCCCCGCCTCTGCTGCTCCCGCTGCACCTGCCACTGCTCACACTGCCTCTGCTGCTGCTGCCACTCATGCCTCTCCCGCTGCTGCTGCTGATGCTGGCACTGAATCAGGAGCTGTTCAAAGGGGAGACTTGCTGGTGGAGAGAGCAGGCATGGGGAGCGAGGAGGCAGGGGGAGTGGTGGCATGGCACTTGGGATGTGTGATTCCTTGTGTGTAACACCGTACATACCGTACCTACAAATATGGAAGGTTGGAGTCATCTGGAAGGCCGTTGGGGCAAGTCTCGTGTCGTTGCGATCAGAACCTACACAGAATTCATCGAGTAAATTACTCTGTTTCTTTGAGAATCAAAGCCTAGCTTATGGATCACACAATATCCAAATGAAGGCCCTAAATTAGCTACATCAGAGATTTCATCAACCCTATCAACACACCCAACTGCAGCCTTCACAAGATTGTCGTTACGGTATCCCAACTTGGGTCCTTACCTGACCCTTGTACCATCCCCTCTCCGCAACTACCAGCAAACCCCATCATTATGCCAGCACTAACACAACCTGCACATGTGCCTGACATGATATCAAGCCCATGCCCGTCCCAGATTGGGCCACTATGAGCGGGAGGTGGAGTTGAGCAGAGCCCTCACTATGAGCGGGAGGTGGAGTTGAGCAGAGCCCTCACTATGAGCGGGAGGTGGAGTTGAGCAGAGCCCTCACTATGAGCGGGAGGTGGAGTTGAGCAGAGCCCTCACTCGTCACCTTCACCTTCTCCTGCTGCTGCACCCGCTTCACCAGGTGCCACTTCCTCGCCTCCTGCCTGCTCTTCCCCCACCACGTCAGCAGCACCATCACCCGCTTCCCCTGCCACACCTTCAGGAGCCTCTGCATCCTCGGCACCCTCTGCAGCCTCTGCGGGCTGTGCGGCGTGTACAACCTGTGCGGGAGCAGCATCTTCCGCGTGCCCCTCAGGCACAGTGTCAGCAGCATGGGCAGCATCGTCGGCAGCAGGGCCAGCATCATTGGCAGCAGCAGCATCATCAGTATCAGCAGCAGCAGAGGCCGCAGCAGCCGCCGCAGCCTCAACAGCAGCAGCGACAAAGTCGTCAGCATATGGCTCGCTCTCCCTCTGCCCGTCTTCCTCAACCACCGCCACAGCAGCCCCATGTTCCATCTCAGGGTCCGTCTCCCCATGCCCTCCCCTGTTATCCTCGCTCGCATCACCTCCCATCCCTTCATTCCCCCCGTCCTCTGCCTCGCCACGCTCACCACCGCCACCCCCACCTTCACCTGCCAGGCCACTCGCCACAGTCTCTGCCTCGTCGTGCTGCATGTGCCCGCCATCCGCTCCCTCCTCCTCTTGCTGCGCCTGCCTCTTGTGCGCCTGCTCCTCCTCTTCCCCCACCTCCACCTCCTCCACCTTCCTCTTCGCCCCAACCATCCCCTCCCCAGTAACCCCTCCTTCCACTCCTTCACCTACTGCGTTCGCCTGCTCGATTGCGCCACCACCGTCGGCCCCTGCCTCTTCCCCTTGCCCCGCCACCCCCTCACCCGCGGACGTCCCCTCACCCTCTCCTGGAGCACCACCGCCGCTGTCTCCCGCCTCCCCCGCCCCACCGGCGCCGCTCATCGCGACCTTGTCCCACACCATGGGCTGCTCCTGCGCCGCCGCCACCTCCGCGCTCCGCATCGCCTCGCGTAGCCACGCGTGTCGGTTCCGCGCCGCGTTCGGCTGTGTCCACGCCAGCTGCCGCCGCCCCTGCCGCCCTTGCCCGGCGGCGGCAACCGCACCGTACCCAACGGCGTCAGCGCGCGTGTCCACCGCGCCCATGCCGCCCGCCACGTTCGCTGCGCCGACCTGCGCGCCATGCCCCCCCGCCGTGGCCGCGCTGGCGGAGAAGGATGCGGTGGGCTCGAGAGTGATGCCCGGGTGAACCACCATCTCCGACCCCACGGCGGGTGGCGCCAGCATGGCGGCCGCGCCGGCTCCGCTGGGGTCGTACTCCGCCACGGGCACGGCGACGGCGTGCTGCATCCCCGCGCCACTGCCGCGCCCGGACATCCCCGCATACCAGTTCTTCCGGCCCCACTTGTGCCGCCCGCGCGATCCGAGGCCCGACGTGGGGCCCACAGGCGCACTCGCCGCCTCCCCGCCATGAGCGGCGCCCAGAGCGCCCGCCGCGCGCTCGGCGGCGAAGACGGTGGTGTAGGCGACGGGGAGCGTATCGTCCGCCACGCCGTCGCGCCCCATGGAGGGACTCACGGACGCGGGCGCGAAGCGCAACGGCCGCGCGGGCGGGTGCAGCGGGCCGACGACGCCCGCCTTGCGGCGATTCTCGAGCTCCGCCTCCCACGCTCCGCGCAGCGCTGTCTCGCGCTCCATCCAGCCGGGCATGGCTCGGCGCGGCGCGAAGAGGCGGTCGATCTCGGAGTAAGCGGCCTCGAGGAAGAAGGAGACGACGTCCATCTTGGTGACCGTGATGCCGCCGCTCGCCAGCGACATGCACTCCTTGAGACCCTCGATCAGCGCGAACAGCGCGGGCGACAGCCGCACCACCGCTTGCTTGCCGTCCGCGCGCTTGTGGTAGTCGCCCTTCCGCCGCATGGTCGCGGTCAGAATGCCGGCGTTGCCGCCCATGGCGGCGTTGGGATCCATTCTGATGCCCGCGTACTGAGATGGGTCCATTCAATGCGCGGCTCGTAAAGTTGAATCCAGAAAAACGGCTGCTGCTGGAGGGGAAATTGAGTGATCCCTGGGGTAACTAAAGTTACGCGGTTGGAGATGCAAATTGCGAGAGAGGATTCGTTGCTCCAGAAGATGCGCTGACAGCGAGCTACTGCGACAGTGAGAAACTACGAGGGAAAACGAGGAGCGGTTACCAAGAAACGTGGAGTTGGGAGAATGCAAGATATCTGTAGGAGAGTTGTATCTGCAGTTACCAAGGGCGCCTGGCTTGTTAAGTTACGGGCTAACCCTAGGGTTTCCCTCAGGTGCTTCGCCTCACGTTACCCAACTAACCAGCTGTGGAGTGATGTCGAGGAGATGTTGCCCCCTTCCCCCGCAGATGTTGCGCGAGAGTGTTTGCGGGGCACTCGGACGGGGAGGGGGAATATCTGGATTGGGAGGGGCGGGATGTGTTTGCGTGCGGGGAGGGTGTGTGGTTGGCGTGGCGGAAGTGACGATAAGAACTGACCAGACGATAAGGTCGCTGTCTACGATGCCGTGCGAACATCTTTTGCCACGATGTAATACACAGCCAATAGGAAATGCTGCACGGAAAAATAGGCGACGATCACGATGGTAATGGATGGGAGAGGGCTTCGCGAGAATCACTTTTGTCTTCGCGCACCGGAATTTCAGCAAGGACACCTCGATCTGTCATAGACGTTCTGAACCAATCAGAAAGCGGCTCGAGCATAAAAAAGTCTCCCCCAAAGGGATCAAAGTGAGGTTGCGTCACAGGATCGATGTGTGGGGTGTACAGCACCGCCATTGTTATCCATGAATGGTTAAAACTCTCAAAAACTCACCAAAATGGTCGCCACGATCGTGTCCCCTCCGCTTGGAGTGATCATGCGATTGGTGCGGAGAGTCACTCTACAACGGGATGTGGACTACGTAAGGTTGTGCGGGTGATCGTAGCGTTGTATTCTCATTCTCACTACTTGCTTTGTTCACAAAGAGATTTCGCAAGAGTTTCATGACGAATTAACAACAATACACTACAATTAGGCATGCAAATCGATATAGCAAGAAAAGGCATTGCAACACCTAGCAAGCACTCTGCAACGCGAAGTGCCACATGGTGGCCTGCCAACGATGAACCCAAGGAGGTCTGCTAGCACTGCAGTCGCAAGTGAGCAATGTGCACATGTACACACCACCAAGTAGGTTCAGGTCGACGATTGCACCGCCAGGCATATTGCGCAGGTGCGAGGTAGAACACGTGTCCATGGTTTCGCCAGATGTCCATCGTCGAGCGCGTGATGCCGCTCCATATGTCGACTTCGTCAAAGCCTCAACAACAAAATTCGCACACACCCGCAGAGTTTCGTAGTCGAACGAATTCTTCCGACCAGTTCGCCGAGACGAGACTCGCCGAACGGCACCCGTCGATCCGAGGACAGGCTCGTCAAATGGCGCCCGTCGGTCAAAGGACAACTGTCAGAATAGTAGGTGAACCTAGGCTTAGGAGAAACCCTAGCCTAGGTGAATGTCGAGAGGAAGGAGAGGAACGTGAGAGATGCCGGTAGTAGCGCAAAAGGGGGGGTTGCATAAAGAAATGCAAGTACAAATAGATGAGAAGTATGCAAGGAGAGGTGCACCACAACCAGGAAATCATAATACCTACACTACAATCACAAGCAGCTATAAAATATGTAAAACATATTACGACACGCCCCCATAATTGCTTGTAGGAAGAAGTGTAGTTACGCCCCCTGGAGGGGTACATCACCCAGAGTGAGCAGCGGAAGGAGAGAAGTACCAAGGAGGAGGTGTGAGAGAGAGAGAGGGAGAGAGAGAGAGGGAGAGAGAGAGAGAGAGAGAGAGAGAGAGAGAGAGAGAGAGAGAACCATCTAGTCCTTAGCCTCCTCTAGCCTCCCTATCCTAGTATAAAGGCCCTGGTGCCTTGCCTAGCTGCTCATTATTCATTTGGTGGTTCGTTTTTCTCTCCAAACCGAGCGGGAGAGAGAGGAGAGAGAGAGAGAGAGAGAGAGAGAGAGAGAGAGAGAGAGAGAGAGAGAGAGAGAGAGAGAGTGAGAGAGAGAGAGAGAGAGAGAGAGAGAGAGAGAGAGAGACAACCATCTAGTCCTTATCCTCCTCTAGCCTCCCTATCCTAGTATAAAGGCCCAAGTGCCTTGCCTAGCTGCTCATTATTCATTTGGTAGTTCGTTTTTCTCTCCAAACCGAGCGGCTCGTGCCTCTCGACAACGCGGCCTTCGGCCGCGCGTGAGGGGTGGCAAGCACAAACCAAGCACCACTACTATATATTGCACCACCATACAAACATGGCAGTGGGAACTACCTACTAGCGAACCCATAGAACAAGGACAAGCGGATCCTACATCCGATCCGCATAAAAAACAACAAGCAGGCCCGACATCGAGCGATGCAGCTCCCGCACCAACACCGTGGCTGTGGCGATCGCCCCGGATCTAGTCCCTGCGTGCAAAAACTGGCGCAGCCCACGGACAGCCGAACCCAGCTGCCCAAACTTCGCAAGCCCTCCCCGCGCGGGCGCAGCTAACACGGGCGCCAGCAGCTCGGCGAGACGATCAGCGGCATCAAGACATTCGTCTCGGGGGCCGCCCATCAGTGAGTCACCCTGGGAAAGGGCGGCGTGACCATACACCTGGATCAGATGTACAGCCCGTAGAGCCTCACAGAGGCGCCACATCTGACCAAGGGTCAATTCAGGAACCTCAGCCACATCTGACCAAGGGTCAATTCAGGAACCTCAGCCGTATGTTGAGGCCCAACTAGCGCCTGGAACGGGTGCGCAGCACCTACGGACGCGGGGCGGGGATCTACAGGAAGGAGGGATGGGTATTGCGTAATCACCGCCCCCCCTACCGCGGTCACAAACTCTACCCCCACTACAGGGGGTACCCACGGCAGCCGAAGGTGACTATCTGGGGCGGGGGTCGATGCAGCTGGAGCAAGGGGAGGAGGAACAGCCGCACGGGGACGAGGAGCTGCCGGCACGGAGGGCGCAGCTGGAGGAGGAGCTGCAGGGGTCGGAGCGACACCGGCGAGTTGCTCTGGCTTGCCTGCCCGTTCCGCTCCTCGCGCACCGCAGCGGAAACAGCGCGCTGCAGATCTGCCATCGTCACCGGCTGATCATACGCCCAGCCGCCACCGCGATGGGGCTGCCCCCACCAGCCACCATGCCCGCCGCGGGGCGCTGCACAGTTCGCCTGGGAGCCGCGACGCCGAGGAGAATCGTGGCGCCGCTTTGATGTCTCCGGCTCGTCACGTGGTGCAGGGGAGTGAGGCCGCTGCTGACGGCGGCCCGGAGACGGCTGACGCTGAGCCGGGGGAGCAGCCTCAGGCAGCGCAGGAGCGGGACCTGCCAGCGTGGGCGGAGGCAGCACGGGTGTCGCCGCAGTTGGAAGAGCGGGAGCGGTAGGGAGCGCTGCCTGGCCCGGGACGTCAGAGGTGGCGGACTCCACCGATTGCGTCGCCACGCTACCAGCAACATCCGCCTGCGCGACGCCAACAGGCGGAGCGGCAGGGACGGCATCAGACGGACCAACGACTGTCGCAGCAGGGGCACACGCAGAAGGCACAGGAGCAGGCGGGGGAACAGGAGGAGCCAATGCAGCCTCATCTGTCATAGAGGCGGGAGTCGGCAGATCCGGTACTACGGGGATGGACGGAACAGTTTTCGGGATGGGGTGAAGCGGGGGCTTCATCGCAGCAGTCACTGGATCGTTTGCAGACAGTGACTTTTCGCGCACCGCTGACACAACGCCAACGTGCGTTGTTGACGGCTCAGGCGGACCGCCGGCAATCACCATCACGAGGAGGGAGGAATCGTAGCGTGGGTCGACAGGGAGTAAGCGGGAGAGGCGGGGGTCCTGAGAATGCGTTCCAAATGGCGGCACGCCAGGCTTTAAACAACTTAGACGAGAATACTGAAGTAGAGCAGCATGCGAACCCTACTTATAGGGAGGAGCCTCAAGCTCCAAGTAGTAGTAGTAGTAGCGAAGGTGTTGATGAAGACGCGGAGCAGGGACAAGTAGAAGGGAGAAGTCGAGTAGAGCGGAGGAATGCAGTGGTTCCACCAAGGGATAGAGGCGAAACGTCAGATGGGAATCTGACGGTCAACAATCCAACCTCCACTCCCACGGCGACATCGGGCCGCGGTCGGAGAAATCGGACCGCGGGCGGGCAACACTCCGTGGCGCCCCCACTCCCAAACCTTCGCTACTACTCGACAGAAGAGCTGGCAAGGCACGCTGACAGGTTCGCAGCGGTCGCGGGCTGGGATTTAGCCCCGCTCTGCGACAGTCGCCAACCCCCAATGGCACGCAGATCGCCGCCAAACCTCTGCCAATTTTTTTCGCTGGCCCTACTGACACCACTTTTGCATCTCTCGTGAAACCCCTGAATCCATCGCGGGCTGGAGACTGTTGCTTTTCCTGCCAAGACTCACACTTCGCCAGGCATCGCCAAGGAGACCAGACTGGCCCAAAATCAAAGCACGACTTCGGACGTTCCAGTAGGGCGAATGGGAGCAGCTGTACGCGGAAGCGTGCGAAGCCATCAATGCACCTCCTCCACCACGTCACCAACCTGACGACACGGGCATTATTAGCACAGCAGAGGGACTGGCGAAGCGCGGTAGCCTGCGGCGTGCTGTCCTGGCACTTGAGTCAACGCCAGTCTGCACACCCAGTCCTTCGATCCTAGAGGAGCTGCGGCGTAAACATCCATCACCTAGCCCTGAGCCGCTGACCTGGCCCGCCAAGTTTGAGACGCGGGTGCTGTCAATTTCGCACCCTGACTTCCTCAAATTGCTGAGTCAGTATGCAAATGGGGTGGGTGCCAGACCGTCTGGCACAACTTTTAAACACCTGCGCGACCCGGCCAGGACGAACGCATCCGTTTGCACCCATCTACACGCATTGGTCAACACCGTGATGGGGGGAAAATTACCATAGCCAGTGGCGGAGATGCTTACTGCATGACACCTCATCGCATTGGCCAAGCCGGAAGGTGGGGCACGGCCAATAGCAATTGGCGAGTGCCTGACCCGTTTGGTGGCAAAGGCTGCCCTTTCGGTGATGGGAGAAGCCGCGCAAACCTTTTCTCTCCTTCTGCAATTTGGGGTTTCGATTCCGGGTGGAGCAGAAGCCATCATCCACACCGCAGTCGCCTTCGCAGACGGCCGACCAGACAGTTTGATCACGCAGACCGACATATCCAACGCTTTCAACAGCATCTCCAGACAGGCAATCGTAGCAGCGCTAGAAGACAATGCGTTATCACCATTACTACCCCTAGTCAAATTCATTTATGGCCAGCCATCGCTTCTACACCTCGACGCTAATTTCAACAGCGCACCACTCACTAGTGAACGTGGGGTCCGCCAGGGTGACCCTACGAGCGACTGCGGCAGCATTCCCAGGCGTCCTATGCCTGGCCTATGCTGACAATGTTACTTTCGTAGGTGAGATTGTGATGACAGTAGCTGCCATCACACATTTTACCAACCAGTTAGAGCGCGCAGGCCTCCAGCACAACCCCAAGAAGTGCAGCGCCTAGAGCAGAAATAGAGTTGCTAGTACGGGCATTTTGCCGCCAGGAGTTCCTTTCCGAGACGACGGCATTCGTTTGCTGGGCAGCTTTTTAGGCACGACAGACGGCGCGAGCACATTCTTGACCGACCAGTTAAGGGCCATGTCAAAACCGCTGCCGCTACTAGAGCGCATGGACCCTCAGATTTCCTCGCTGATTCTCACACGCTGCATATCTCGCCGTGTAGCATATCTCATACGGACAACACCGCTCAATTTCCTGCTTAATAGCACTTGGGCACAATGGGGCCGGGACCTTCTAGCCACCCTTCTTGCAGCATGCGACATCCGCTATCCAACGAGTGACGATAAGCAGATCAGAGTCTGAGAACAATCATCGCTACCCCCCTCGCTTGGAGGCTTACCGACCCCACAGTTGAGGGCACTTAAGGTTTTCTAGCCAGTTTCACGCAGGCTGCCCTACTCCTCTGCTCCATCTCACTAACACCTGACGATATCCATGCGAGCGCCAAGAACCACATGCTGCTGCCACATGACACCAATACCCCACTACATACCTGGCTCACGTGTTGTGAAGAGGCTCTGCCGACAGACGCACTGGAAATCCTGGAAAAGGAGAGGGTGGAGCCGACGGGCGTTACGCTGCAGCACGCCCTTGCAGTTAAAGTGCAGGGGTCTAGATACGCTAAGCAGGTGCGGGAGACCAGGCGCGTGCGAATTAATCCTCTGTATGGGCACACTCAGCGTATGTTTTTGCTCACAGGCTATGGCACGGGCGACTGGATGACTGCTACACCTATAGAGCCTCACCGACTGATTGCATCAGTCCATTTCGCCAACGCTGTGCGCTTTCGCCTTGCACTGCCCTTTTCCACACTAGCGAAGTGTGACTGCTTTGATCAAACTGAAATCACTGATCCACGGCTGCCGAACCATCTCTTCCCCTGCTGCACGGGAAAACACAGAATCAACACCCATAACGAGCTTCGTGACGCGTGCATTACCATGGCCAAGGATGCCGGTTTCATAGTCCACGGAAGCCGCGTATTGTCCAATCGAGGAGCAAACAGCGGAACTCACCATGCGGGACAAGAGTGCAGGAGCACTGTACATATGTGACGTCACGATCACGGACCCCATTAGTACAAGGGACCCAGAGGCAAAAAAAGGAAGGGGATGGGCGGCCAGGGAGCAAGCGGATAAGAAAACCAGTCACTATGCTAACAGGCCTGATACGGTTGGCTTCTTCCCCCTCGCGGTCGAGACGTATGGGTGTCCTTGTGCCGAGGTGCCCAAGTTCCTCAAGCTTTTGATAGATATGGCGGCGCGGCGATACTTAACGCCGAACCCCACTCTTACCATGCGGCGAAGTTCTTGCACCTTTTCAGACAGCGTTTGTGAGGATCTAGGATCGAGCTCAGAAAAGAGAATTGTAATTGAATGATCCACCTAGGTACAACAAGAGGCTATATATAGTCTCGACACAAGGCCTAGTAACCAGGTGTTACGCGAAGGTTCTGAGGGTCGCAAGGGTCATAGCCGTTCCAGCGTATCAGGAACTCGAGGGTCTTGCCGCAACGGCGCCGATGAGTGAGAATGCGCTCCACTTCATACTCGGGTTCATCCTGTATGAGAACAGGTGGTGGTGGCGGTAGTTGCTATCCCTGGAACTGTTGGTTGGGGTCCTTGTAGGGGTTTAGTAGCTGAACATGGAAAGCGTTGTGAAGCTTCCACGTAGTAGGTAAGTGCAAGCGGAATGTTACTGGTGTCAACTGTGCCTCAACGAGAAAAAGACCACAGAAGCGAGGCCTCAGCTTGGATGGGAGGTGAGACAGGTTCAAGTTGCGCGTGTCAAGAAGCACATGATCTCCAACTGCTACTGAGTGACCTCATCGCTGGCGATCGGCATACTGCTTCTGGGAGTTTTGCATCGTGGTGAGACGTCGCCGAGTCTTCTCCCATAGCTGCTGCATGGTGGTGACGAAGTCATGTGCGGCTTGGACGTGTGCCGGTGTAGTTGGCTGCTGTGGTGTAAGTGGTTCCCGTCCGTAGCACAGGAAGAAAGGCGTTTTCCCTGTGGCCGCATGTGACGCGTTGTTGTAAGCAAAGTCTAGGGTCGGTAACTGTGTGTCCCAGTGGCTAACGTCATCTTTGCAAGCTGTGCGCAGTAACTGTTCAACCACCTGATTGAGTCGCTCCGTCTGTCCATCAGTCTGTGGGTGGTATGCTGAAGACATCGAAAGCTTAGTCCCCAACAATCCCATGAGTTCCCTCAAAAACTTACTCGTTAACTTGGGATCTCTGTCTGAGATGAGCGTAGCGAGGATGCTGTGGATGGTGATGATGCGGTCAAAGAAGAGGCGAGCAGTTGCTTCAGCTGTAGCCGTGAAAAATGGAGCCAGTGGGGAAGGGACATCCTCTCCGCCCTGCTCACATCATGCGACATACGCGTCCCCACGTGTAGGACCGAGCAAACGCGAGTCTGGGAGCAAGCCTCGCTGCCGCCATCGCTGGGAGGCATAGGCATCACTGACCCCCTGATAGAGGGGATATACGGTTTTTCGGCGAGTTTCACACAGGCGGCGCTGCTTCTCTCCTCCCTCGCGATAGACCCACGGAACGCCCTGGCACTAGCGCAGAATCACATGCTACTGCCTCTGGACACCGACACGCCCTTACACACGTGGCTCACAGAGTGCGAGAGGGCCCTGCCTCTAGATGCAAGAGAAATCCTGGAGAAGGAGCGGCTCGAACGGTCTGACGTGAGGCTCCAACACGTGCTCGGTCTTAAGGTCCACGGAAGAAGATACGCCGTACAGGTCCAGGCTACAAGGCGTATGCAGCCGAATCCGCTCAAGGGTCATACGCTGCGGATGTTCTCTTTGACGGGCTACGGCACCAGCGACTGGCTCACTGCAATCCCCATTGAACCCACACAGCGGATAGGTCCAGTACACTACGCCAACGCCGTACGTTTCCGACTGGGGCTGCCGTTTTCAACCCCAAAGAACTGTGACTGCGCCGACCACACAGCTATCACTGACCCCCGCCTCCCGAATCACCTACTCCGCTGC